AGTGTTTATTTCTGGGTCATCTCCATGTCCTCCCCTTCTCAAATCTAACCAATACCGCGATCTTACTTCTCTCTCCCTTGCAGTGTGTTTCAGACTTGTCCCTTTTTGTCCAGACAATTAGAGTGCCCACTCTAACCCTTACTAGGCTGGCAGTAGCTAGAAAGAAGGGCAGGGTAGGAGACTAGCTTCACTTTGTGAAACCCTCCCTAGGCCCCTCAGGGAATTTTCTCTGTTCTGGACTCTCAGTCTCTGAGTCTCCTTAAGACAGATGTTATTTTCAACATATCTGAGAAAGTAAAATAATGGCTTTGGATACAGCAGAGCCATTATCAACTCTACAGATTTCCTTGTGGGTTTTGTGTGTGTGTGTGTGTGTGTGTGTGTGTGTGTATGTGTTGTTCATTCATCCACCATCCATTCGCTTTTTATTAATCAACTATAATGGAGCATCAATATGTACCAAACATTGCTGTTGTTAAGTGCCATTGAGTCACGTCTGACTCACAGCAACCCAATACAGGGTTTCCTGGTGTGGCGATGTGGGTTAATGCGCCAGACTGCAAAGCCATTTGAACTGCAAGGTCGGTGGTTCAAGCTCACCAGATGCTCCTTGGAAACCCTGTACAGGTTTGCTATGGGTCAGAATCGACTCGACAACACTTAACAACAACGAGGATCGGCTGGTGAGCTTGAATCGTCAACCTTTCAGTGTAAACTGACTTTGCATTAACCTTCAGCACCACACCAGGACTCCAAACACAGGTTTCTATAAAATGGAATATATTATGAAAAATTGCTGACACAGTGTCTGGAAAATAGCGAGTACTTTATGCATAGGTGGGAAAAGAATGATCCTCAGATCTGGCATGTTCCCCGAGATCATCTAACCCACTTCGTGTTATCTCTGAGGAATCTGAAGCCCAGACTGACTGACTGCCCAAGGTTCCACAGAAAGTCTGAGGTAGAAAGAATTAAGACTAGACCTCATGTTTCAGATTCAACTCTTTTTACTTTCTGTTGCCCCCATCACTGCCACCATGAGGAGGGTGATACCCATGTCAGATTCAGATTACCCAATAAGGACGGTAAGCACAGGCTTACTGGTGCTTACTAATCTGTAGTGAACAATTTCACATTTTTCACCACATCAAAGATTCTGCTTGTAGGTATGGCTGCCATTTGTCTCTCTCCTGACCCTGTAGCACCTTTCTACCGATTCAAAGTCTCTTTTCAAATTTACAGTCGCTGATGGGGATGGAGTACCCAGTAAGCAAGGTAAATATAGGCTTACTTGTGCTTGCTCACTGATCTATAATGAATAGTTTCACATGCTTTTCAGTGGTGAAACTCTTCACTATAAGTTAATAAGTAAGCACAAGTAAGCCTGAGCTTACTGGCTAATCTGACCCAAATAGATACCTTGGGTTATATTTCAGGTTGGAAAGTAAGGATGGATCATGATGTGTAAAAGTCAAAATTGTATCTTCTTCCATATCCTTAAATACACACGTACACACAGGGTAAGACTGTCCATGAACAGAGTCCCTGCGAGCCAGCTGGCTTGGTTGAGAGAAACTCGAGATCTTGAGGTGGGAACATTCAGTGTAGTTTCATCCAGAATGTTTCCTACGTATCTGAAGAATCCTTATCCACACCTCCTTCCTCTCCACCAAAGGACAGGCCCTAAGCCTACACATACTACTGCATCTCACTCCATCCCCAAGTTGAGGCCCTGCCTTCTGACCTCCTAATAATTCTGGTTTCCAGCATCTTTCTCACCAGTCTTGTCTCCACAGCACTGAAAAGGAACTTTTAAAAATGTAGTTTCATCTTAACACACCCTTGTCTGTTGCACCTTACTGTCCTCATCCAACCCTTTATAACTGACACCGGCTTTCCTGCTTACCACTTCCCTCATCCAACCACCCTGCTCCTTCAACCACTATTCCTTTGCTCATATTATTCCTTAGGCCTGTGATAGAGGTTTCTACCTCTTCCACATGGAAACCACTCCTCCAAAAAAACTAACTTCCATGTGGTTACAAATGGAAGAAGTCAAGCTACCTGAATCAATCAAAGAATTTATTAGCACTGAACTGAAAGGTCAGATCCCTGGTGTGGCACTGTGGGTTAATATGCTGGACCACAAGGTCGGTTTGAATTGCAAGGTCAGCGGTTCAAATTCACCAGTTGCAGCTCCTCAGAAACCCTATACAGGGTTGCTATGAGTTGGAACGACTTGATGGCACTTAACAACAACAACAAGGTCAGTAGTAGTACCAGCTGTAGGAGTCCCTGAATGGTGCATATGGTTAAGCACTCAACTACTAACCAAAAAGCTAACAATTCATATCTACCCAGATGTGCATTGGAAGAAAGGCCTGGTGTTCTCCTTACAAATGTCACAGCCACTGAAGCCTATGGGACATAATTCTACTTTGAAGCATAAAAGGTTACCATGAGTTGACATTACTTAGATGGCAACTAGTTTTTAACTGGTTGTACCAGCTTCAGGCATTGCTGGAACCAGGAACTCAAATTCTAGCACTATGATTTTTTTTCTCTTTGCATCTACCTTCCATCTCTGCTCTATCTTTATTTTCTGTGAATTGACGTCATTCTCTGAGATGCCTTCTTTGTGTCTAGTGAAGAGGATCACAAGCGGCCCCAACTTCTATCATCTTTACAAATAGGGCCTTGTGCTGACAGATATATAATACAGATATATTCATCTTTTTGTCAACACAGTCATAGGATACTTTTTTTTTCAATGGAGGAAAGGGTGAAGGCAAGAGAGTCTAGGACCTTATTTAGAGCTGACTAAGTCAGCAGTTTGAAACTACCAGCAGCTCCGCTGGAGAAAGATGAGGCTTTCTGCTCCTGTAAAGATTTACAGCCTCAGAAACCCTGTGTAGGGTCGCTATGAGTCAGAACCGACTCCACAGCACATAACAACAACAACAATAAAAAGAAAGAGAGATCCATTTTATCAATTTTCATATGTCACGTCATACAGAAAATGCTAATTGGATCATACTCTAAAACATGTCATTCTCAGAGGACCCGATTGACCAGATTTGACTCTCAAGCCCACCCCTTATGGAGGATATATATGTTTACATCCTCATATAAGCACAGGAAATGGGGTTTTCTGTAAGAAAGAGGCTTCTGTTTCAAGACTATCCATCAAACCTGACTATCTCCCCAAAAGTTCTTTCCTTTATTACCCCTTCCCCCCAGGAGATATGTCATCATTTACTTCTCAGCTCTCAGCAATCCCAGTGGGACCCTAATTTACTGTATCATAGTCTCTGGGTCTTTCTGACACTGGATGTCAGCTTCCTGGAGTGGAGAAAGAGTAGAAAGGGGGCTGACTGGGTCTACGTGTGTGAACAGGAGACATTTGATCTGGATCTGCAGCTAGAAGTCTTTCCGGGGGGAAGGGGCATTTCAGCAGGGTGGAGGTATGAGGAAGAACTTTAGGAGCAGGTGATGGGGAAGCTACCAGGATGGGAAGGACGTGGGACATAGAGAAGGATACAGCAGGAGATGAGTCTGAAAAGATGATGGGACATTATCATCGGTTACTAGGAATGCCACGTAAGGGAATTTGGATTTGATCCTGCAAGCCACCAGGGCTCCTAACCTGGGTCTGTGAAAGGACATTGTTGTTGTTGTGAAGTGCCGTCAAGTCGATTCCTACCCATAGCAACCCTGTAGAGGGTTTCTGAGGAGCAGCTGGTGAGCTTGAACCACCGACCTTGAAGTTCAAGTGGCTTTGCAGACTGGCGCATTAACCCACAGCGACACACAAAGGACATTAGAGAGCCTTAAATGATTGTGAAATGTTTTATCTCAGTGCTCTTTCTGCCAAAAAGGTCCATGGTTCTCATCAGCTTTCCAAAGAGTTTGGAAATATTTGCAAAATGGTTAAGAATCACTCATAATGGAGATGAGATCAAAGTGATTGATAGAGGAGTGCCAAGCTCAAGTGCATCATCACAATGCTGCTCTGGTTACCTTGTGGAGGCGGGGCTGAAGGAGAGTAGAAGCAGGGAGGTCTGGGAAGGATCTCTTAGAAAGTGGGTGGTGACAGGGACTTTAAACAGGACAATGTTAAAAAGAAACAAACAGTGGACTTAAAACATGTTGTAGCAGTAAGATCCTTTCTGCATATTGGGGTTGATGGAAATGAAGAGAAAGTGTTTGTAAAGTTTCTAGTTTGTATACTTACTCTGTCATAGGTTAACAAAAATTTGTATGATTGCTGTTTATTTCTTTTATTTAGAGAATTCTTTTAAAAGCATGCACAGGATAAAGAATTTATAAAGACACTGCCCTCTAAAAAATTTCCTCAACTCTCTAGAGAGTGTTCTTGGTTCTGAATATACAGCATTATCTTATCTATTTAAAATAACGATCCAGCCACAGCAGGCAACTAATTGGTGTATAAAAAGGCCCTGTTTGGCTGTATCATATATACCTACAATTGACTAAAACCAATTATCTTAGGCCAACAATTATTTATCTTCCCTCCTTCGAGTGCAAGAAACTGCAGACTGGATCAATAGTTCAACAGCTTAACCATCATACAATAGCCATCATGTATGTTACATGTCTTCAAAGTAAAAAACAAATCTCAATTTCTATTTGTTTAGTCATTGTGACAATAAGGTTGGTGAGGTTGGAAATATTTTGTTATACTGTGTACAGCAAATGTGTCGTACTGTATCTGTGGAAAGTGTGCTTTAATTTTATTTTCATATGTTCTGTTGCGGACAGAGCACATTGCATTTGTAAGGGACAGATGTTTGTTTTAGAACTGAAGGCAACTTAATGGGATCAAAATTCCTGTCAAGGAAAGTTGTTTATAAATGTAAACAAAATCACTTTTACAATACAATATTTCTGATACCTCCACCACTCCCACAAAAAAAAGCTAGCAAAGCGATATCAAGGTAGTTTGCTTTTCTAAATCTGCACTTTGTCACCCCGCCCAGCTACCCGCTCCCGTCCCCAGTGCTCACCAGCTCTGACCGGCTGCCTTTTGGCATCGAGGAGAATGGGGGCACACCATTCATCACCAAAGCACCAGGAAGGCACCACCAGTACCACCACCAGCCCCAGCATCAGCACCATCCAAACTATGGCCTCACACTGACCCTGGAGAACAAAGAGGGGCCTTTGAGGTCCCCAGGCGCCAGCAGTAAGTCCCTTACAAGTAAGTAGAGATGGAGAGGGCAGGGATGGGGTGTGTATGGGGGTGGGGGGGGAAGCAATACTGTTTAACCTGGGTGGTTTCCTGTAGTGGATTTGAGGGGAACATCAGGCCTCTTCCAGATTCACAAGAGGGGAGGGGGAGAATCACCATCCACAGCAATCCAAAACCAATTCCTATAAAACGGAGCTCAGACATGCCTCTACTCTCCAACCTAAGAAGGTTAAGAAACAATTCTGACACCAGCCACATCCTCACATGGCACTCTACTCAGCTGGGTTAATAAACCATTGCAATGGCCACACAGATCCCATAGACAACACTCACAATTCTGGGGTTTATTAGGGAAGTTGTTGTTATTGGGGAAGTTAGCAGGCTACAATTCAGGGATAGAAAATGCAGAATCAGAGGATACAGTTCTTTGATCAGAACAGCCTCTTCTGATCCATGCCTGAAAGGCAAACCTCTCTCTGGTCCTTGGCCTCTTGGTGGTTATGTGCCGTGGAGTCGGTTCCAACTCGTAATGACCCTATACAGGATTTCCGAGGCTGTAAAACTTTACGGGAGCAGAAAGCCTTGGCCTCTTAAGCAGTGTTAAAAAGTTCTTTCAGGGCTGCTAATAAATGTCCAAAGGGAATTCTAGTTTGAGATTAATCTCAGTCCAAAGGTGCTAGGTTTTAACTCTTTCAATTAAATAGCTGAAGACATCTCACGAAGGTACTCGGCTTTTCTCACTCCCTCAGCTGGGAGCCTCTGCCTCCAGCTCTGCCACTGCCATTCCTCTGCTGCTTCCCTGGTGGCATAGCTTTCTGTCCCTGGATCAACGAGGTTCAATGCACAGGCGTCTTGGGGTCCAAAGCACATACTCCACTCTTGCCTGTTCTTCCTTGAAGGTTCCGAGATCTCACCCCCTATCCTTTTGGATGGTTTGCATTACACCCAGCACGATGACAAAATTGACCAATCCCCATGTTAGAGTTCCAAGCTTTTACAGTCACAATTAGTCTTGTTAACAATCACTCACGACAGAATCATATAATCTTATTAGCGTCTTCCCCCCATTTGCTCCCATCAGGAGAAAGGCATTTGGTGGGAGTCACGAAGACTATGACTAGAAGAGACATTATTCACTGTACTGGACTTCCCTAGATCCTTAAGACAGGCTCTCAGTATAGTGTGAAACTATGTTCATAGTGCTGGGTGACATTGTTTAGACAAAAGCAAATTTAGGGAAATTTTGAGATTATGGATTACCAGTTCACTTTAATGTCATTGTTGTTGTGACGTGCTGTCAAGTCGGTTCTGACCCATAGCGACCTTGTATAGGGTTTCCGAGGAGCAGCTGGTGATCTTGAACTGCCAACCTTGCAGTTCAAATGGCTTTGCAGTCTGACGCATTAACCCACAGCACCACACCAGGATTCCTTGATGTCACTGCATAGCAATAATTATTGCTCTACCTCATTCTCCTTCACAGTTCTCTACTTGTGCAACACCCATCCCTCACTCAAGCAATGCAAAGGGGATAGAAGGGCATGAAGTGGCTATAATTTCTACTTTCCTAATTCCAGAAAAACCTATACTGCCCCATTTCTGACATTTCCACAACTTAGAGCAAGGTGATATCAGGTTGACTCAGTTTGCTCAGTAATACAAATCTCAATGAGAGAAGGACAGAAATCAAGAGTAAGCAGTTAGAAACTATTAACAGTATGACAGTGATTTTTATATCTAGTAAAGCTAATAAAAAGTATTGGACTTGGATTTAATATGTTTGTTATTTTACTTTTTTCTAGACATGCACTTTTATTATATTTTACAAAATGTAATATCCTGTTATATCTTCCTGTGATGAATCGGGGAAAGAATTTGTTCTTTATCACATATGGTTTAAAAAGTGTGGAGATGACACAAGAGGCTTCAATACTAGTTCTCACTATTGAGCCAAGTCCTCTGCTCAATCTTTGCTTTCCTCATCTATGAATTGGAATAGAGGCGGCCCCATGATCTCCAAGGGACATTCTGGTTCAGGTCTCATGAGTCAGTGATCTAGTGACATATGATGGGCTGTTCAGCCTTTACCTGTAGACCTTGGGGAACGGTTCTGGGTGACACACTGGGAGTTGGAAGGGAGCCCAATACCACTTGGTGTTCAAGGGTCAGAACATTTCATCCCTCTCCACACTGCCCTTGCCCCACTCCATGCCTCATCTCAGTGGACTTGGGTAGTTGTCAGAGCTTCCTAAGGGGCACCCTATCCAGCAGTCACACTGTGGCCGCCAAAAGAGGTAACTCCAAACACACATCTGACCTGACTGCTTTCTTCCATTAAAACCTGACTGATTCTTCACTGATCTCAGGCAAGCCCACATTCTGAGCATGACAGCACACAGACCTTTAATCTTGCCCTGTGCACCCCAACTCTTCATTATAACTGGAACTACTCACCACTCACCAGATGCCATGCCCTGTCTAGCTCTGCCCTTTACCCTGCTGTTACCTCTGCTTAGAGTGCTTTTCACCACCCCAGTGAATTTCCACACATCCTTTGTAAGCAGTGAAACGTTCCTTAACACTCCTCCTCATTTTGGGCTTACTCCTCTAGTATTCATTACTTGTTTAAAAGGCTCATGCATTTTATTGGTCGTTTACTGTCAGTTATTGATGTTGTTGTTAAGTGCTGTTGAGTAGATTCCAACCCACAGTGACCCTGAATAGGGTTTCCAGGGAGCCGCTGGTGAGCTTGAATCACCGACCTTGAAGTTCAAACAACTTTGCAGTCTGATACATTAGCCCACAGCGCCACACCAGGAATCCATTGTCAATTATAAAGACTGGCTAACGGTAATGTTCAGAGTCCTTGTGTGACACTGTAGGATAGGCACTTGATTGTTAACCTCAAGGTCAGTGGTTCAAACCCACCAGCTGCTCCAAGGAAACCCTATATAGGGTTGTTATGAGTCAGAACCAACTCAACGGCACTTAACAATAACAATGGTTGTTTTCAGTAAAAGCTTTCACAAGTAGTAATTAAGTAGAACTTTTGATCAGTTTTATTCAGAGTATTATACATGTGTCTCTCTCCTCTGCTAGATTGAAATCGTGTCTCATTTACCTCTTTACTGCAGCTCCCCAGATCCCAGTAGCCAGCAATACTTGGCACAAATATTTAATATGTAGTGAATAATTTATTATACCAGGGACTTCAAAAAATTTGTGGGAAAATTCCATTATCTTTCACTTTATTCTCCACAAGTTTTTCGAAGCCCCCTTGAATTGAATAAATCCAAGCTATGGGAGGAGAGGTAGAACAGAAATTAAAATCAGTGGATTTGGTTTTGAAATTTATAGTATTTCAAACTATAATTCTTCAAGGGCACATTTATAGGCATGTTAGCCCAAATACCAATCTTTCCAATTTTCATAATGCTTTTCATTTATAAAACATTTGGCATGAATTAACTCACTTAATATTCACTGCATCTTTGCAAGTAAGTAGTTTTATTTCCATTTTATAAACAGCTCCAAGGCTCTGGAGATAAAGCAACTTGCCTAGGGCCACCCAGCTCAGATGGGGTCGGGGAGTGGGGGCAGAGTTGAAACCTTGATCTTAGATGTTCTCATACCCATAAGCTAGATTCAAGCTGCAGAGGAGGCATTCCGCAGAAAGGGTGTTGGGGGTCCAGTTCTGACAAGTGTCCTTTGCCTACATCTATCTGTCCTTTCAACTTTCCTATTTTTCTCTCTGGCTGCGTTTTTAGAACTGAGTCCAGGAGTACCTGCCCTGTTCAGTGATGCTGCTGCCCATATAAAGAAGCTGGAACTGGAAACAGTGAAGGCTGTTGGACCCTGGCCTGCTCTGCACATCAACATAAACAAGGTGTCCAGAGTCTGTGGGCTCTGCTGGAAGCATGGACTTGTGCTCATATCAGCAACGGGCTCTAACGTTGCTTACCTCCTAAAACATGTGCCTTTGCTTTAGAGGGCTTTCTATTCAATCGTCCTAACATTGTTGCTCAGGGTATCTTTTCAAAGGAAAACATTCACTTGCATTATTTTTGGGTGAATTACAGATTAGACCTTGTCCTCGGTGTCCTAAGGCCAATAAGTGGATTCTGTCTCTGAAGAGTCTCTCTCTCTCCTTCTAGACTGAAAGCTCCATGAGGACAGCATCCACACATCTCTTTCCACTTTTATCCCTCTAGCTCCCTTAGGATGGTGTCTGGCACGTCATACATGTTCAGTAACTGTTGATGGAAAGAAAAAAGGGACTTAAGTAGTATGGGAAAGAGGGAGGGAAAGACAGGGTAGAAGCCAAGTTCCTACTTGGCTAGACCTGTTCTTACATCTAAAAGGGCAGCCTCGTAAAAACCATGGCTTATCATAGAACTACAGAACGCCCATGTTAGGTTGGGTCTATCAGTCCTCCAATGATTTTCTTTCTTCAGTTGGTCATACAGCAGGGACTGAGTTCTTGAGTTCCTGATTTCTCATCCAATGCCTTTGCTTTTCAACATGTTTCTCTCTGTCCCTTTACCAGGGTTTCTCAACCTCAGCACTCTTGACATTGGGCCCCATATTTCTTTGCTGTGGGGGACTCTCTTAAAAATATATATATTTAATATATATAAAGTACATATTATTTTACATCTGTCTTAAGACATATTTTGTTGTTGTTATGTGCCGTGGAGTCGGTTCCGACTCATAGCGACCCTGTACAGGGTTTCCGAGGCTATAAATCTTTATGTGAGCAAAAAGGTAGTACCGCGGAGCAGCTGGTAGTTTCAAACTGCTGACCTTGCGGCTCGCAGCCCGATTCGTAACCATTACGCTACCAGAGCTCCTTTAGTATATTTAGCAGCACCCTGGGTAACACACCCATCAAATTGTGACAACAAAAATGTTTCCAGACATTTCCAAATGTTCATGGGTTGCAAAATCAACCCTAGGTTGTACATCTATTTTAATTTTATAAATGAATAGTCTTTTTCACTCACAGTTGGTATCTCCCACTTAGACTTTGCACCTGTCTAAGAGGGAATAGGAAGAATTTGGGAGAACTTTTCTGGGAAGTTCCCTTTGTTATCTGCACTAGTGAGCTGGCTGTACTTCTTGTCCTGACCATGTCTCCCCTCTAGGGAACCCTCTGGACTAACAAAGATTTCTAGGATTTCTTAGGAGATAACCACTCCCTCAGGGCTACCACCCTCACCCCTCACTGCCACAGGGCTCAGGAAGGCTTGATGAACTCTTGTTGATTGCTTATATGTCTCAACTTTAGCCGTACTCTTCAGGCCTTTCTCATCCTCTCCTTAGAGAGAAGGAATTCCTTCAGTCAGTAGATCTCTCTTGAGCAAGCCTGTGCTTGATGCTGGGGACTCAACTCAATGCATCATGTATGCTTGAGTCGGTCTTCTTTCTCTCTGGCTCTTGGTGTTCAGCTTTTCTTTTGCAGACACATGATAAATGGTTTTATCAAGGGCTTACTCAGAGTTTGACAAAATCCAAAAATAGCTTGGAAGGGAATCCAGCACACAGTGCAGCAGAGAACTTTCAAGCACTGTAGTAGTTTGTGATCACCATGATTATTGGTGGGACATTGACAATAGTTGCTTGCTGTGAATTAAAGCATAGCTGGTCATTTGTCATTTTCCTGGAGCTCAAACTGTAACTCCTTTCCTATCTTCTCCACTCAAAAAACACATCAGTAAGTATGTTAGCTAGCATGATGTGAATATACAAGTAACCATGACCTTGTCCTAACACATAAGCAAAGTATAGTATTTCAAACTACAATTCTTAATCATTAATAAAAAATCCTGGCAACAGATTCACAACTCATCATGAGACCACAGTTGGGAAAACCCTGACTTAAGGTTTTATGTTTTTTTCCTAGCCCCAAGGCTCTGGAATGGTCTGATTTGTCCAGGATTTGTATAACTTCCCATCTTTGATTTAATGGTAAAAGTCCTGTTCATTGCTCAGTTCCAAAGCAGTGCCAACATTATCATAGGAATTTAAAGCTCATCAGATTTCAGATGTGTAAATGATGTGCATCAACAATTTAAACAGGAATCTCATCATTTATTTCCAAATGACATTTCCAAGCAAATGAGCTCTTTCCCACTGTAATAATATAAAAGCCAAATTTTCAGTCATTTGTATATTTGTAAATCTATATTTCCACATTAAATAACAAAGTATATTTGGGCAGTTCAAGTAAAATACAAAATATGGTCATAGAGAGGAGAGAAAACAACATTCTCGGAGCCATCCTCCAGGCTGGATTATAATAATATAACAATCAAGTCTTGTAGTCCAGACCTGACTCCCAGAGAGATAGCTTTTATGTAAACAAATCCACATAATGATGCACAAATTCTCCAAATTTTTGTTTGTTTTTTGCCTCAAGCAATTCACAGAGTTGAGTGTTTTATGTCTTTGTCCAGATCTTGCTTTGTCCAGATATAATTGGAATAAGCCGATTTCACGTTTATGTCCAAAAAGCAGTTTCAAATTACAAAAATTCAAGGGAAAATCAATGCTGAAATCTCATTCTTTTTTTATTTTAGCAACATTCAATTTTTGAAAAATAGGTCTTCGGTCATTGCTGTCAGGATAACTATATCCCCTTAAGCAACTGTCAAAAACCTCAAATGGGCTTTAGAAGCAATTTAGTTCCTATATCCTAAGCATATCATTCCAAAAAAAGTTAACCTAATTAAAAAGTTAACTCTCCAAAAACCAGTGAAACTACCCATTCAAATATTAAATGTAACTAACTAGATTTTAAAATAAGGAGCTCTGGTAGCGTAGTGGTTACGAATCAGGCTGTGAACCATAAGGTCAGCGGTTCGAAACTACCAGCCGCTCCACGGGAGAAAGATAAGGCTTTCTACTCCCGTAAAGATTTACACCCTTGGAAACCCTGTTACAGGGTCGCTATGGGTCGGAACCGACTCGATGGCACTTAACAACAACAACAGATTTTAAAATACAGGATAAATTCTGCTAAACCCCATCTTCAAAATAAATAAGTCACTTATTTGCTGAAGGAGAATGCCAAATCCCACAAGATACTACATCAAGTCAAATTAATCACTGTGTTTCTTGGTGGCTCAGGATCCTTGCTGTTAGGTGCTGTAAAGTCTATTTGCGACTCATAGTTATTCCATGTGACAGAGTATAATTGTCCCATAGGGTTTGCTAAGCTATAATCTGTATGGAGAATCTTGGTGTGGCACTGTGGGATAAACACTGGACCATAAAGTTGGTTTGGACTCAAGGTCAGCAGTTCACACTCACCAGCTGCTTCTAATAAACTCATATACAGGGTCGTTATAACTAGGTCAGAAATGACTTGACAGCGCTTAACAACAACAACAATCTGTATGGAGTCCTGGTGCGATGCTGTAGGATAAGCACTGGACCACAAGGTCAGTTTGAATCCCAAGGTCGGCAGTTCATCCTCACCAGCTGCTCCTCAGAAACCCTATACAGGGTCACTATGAGTCAGAAATGACTTGACGGCACTTCCCAACAATCTGTATGGGAGCAGATGGCCAGGTCTTCCTCCTAAAAATCTACTGGCTGGGTTAAAACTGTCCACCTTTCAGTGAGCAGCCAGATAAATGCTAACTTTTCACCTTTCAGGATCATTAGTGCCCTCTTGTCCAGGGGCTCTTTTTCTTATTGATATTTATTTTTCTAGTCATCTTAACCATCTTAATGAAGAAGGAAACGGAGACTCTAACAGATTAATGAAGCCAGTATGGCTGAATGGTGAAGAGCTCTGGCTTTGGTGTCACCTAGTCCTAGGTTGACCCTTGACTCTTCTGTTTACTCCCTGTGTGCTCTTGGGCAAGTGACTTACCATCTCTCAACTTTGTTTTCTCATTTATAAAGTGGGCACAATATACCTATCTCCAAAAGACTAGTTAAATGAGAGGATTCAATGAGATGTGTTTATGGAATTATTAGTCACTGCATTCAGTAAATGTTCGTTACTGACATTACTTTTTGTCATCTTCATTGCCTGTTTTTTTGCTGTTGTTTTGATTTGATTTTAATGGTGCTGATGGGGAAAGAGCTGAGGTTCACATCTAGGTCTCTGTCTCTGCTTATCTTGTGAGTCCATGAAACTGTTGAACTCTGCCTAGACTTCCACATTCTTCTCTATATGTTTATTACAAGATGTCAACTAGCCAATTGCTGGCTAAGAGTTTTTATAATATCTCTACTGTGTTGTGTGTACTAAGGTGCTCAACAGATCTTTTGGATTAGTGAGGTTAATTTTGCAACTTGCAGAACTTGAAGACTTTAGAACATTTTATTCTTGTCCTGATACATTGCAACTGAGTTGTCTTATCTACTCCTGATATCTCTCAATTGACTTTTAGCAAACATATGTCCTTGTATCTTTTTTATTAAACACATCTCTTCGAGTAATAATTGTGTAGATTCATTCTTTTCTTCATCAGTTATTTATTGAGCAACTGCTATTTGCCAAGCACCTGATGTGGCACTGTAGGATCAGCACTGAACTGCTAACCATAAGGTGGGCGGTTCAAACCTACTAATTGCTCTTTGGAAACTCTATAAAGGGTTGCTATGAGTCAGAACTGACTCGACAGCACATATCAACATATTAGTACTGAGATATGCAATGATTACTGTAGAGTAGATTAACATTTAGATATTAGCTCCCTGGGTGTGGTATATATGCCACCAAGGATGGTTTTAGGCTATACACATAAATGAATATTTTTATTTTAATAATGTTATAATTTTAGTAATGATATAATTATGATATTTTTCTTATAGTAAGTGTAATAGTTATTAAGCCCATAATTTCCAAGGTATTATTGCTTAAGATATGGTTCTCATACTTTGGACATAGTGTCAGGAGGTAACAGTCGCTGGAGAAGGATGCCATGCTGGGTAAGATGGAGGGTCAGAGAAAGAGAGGAAGACCTCCAACGAGATGGATCAGCCAGGTGGCATCATTGATGGCGTCAAGTGTGGCAGCGGTAGTGAGGTTGGCCCAGGATCAGACATTGTTTAGTTCTGCTGTGCATAGGGTCGCTATGAGTCAGTTCCAACTCGATGGCACCTGACAACAACAACAACAACAACCTTGTTGGGTTGTT